ACTGGAATTGCATCACATTCGTCACTGAGAAATTTGCCATAAATGTCGACGCGGGAATTAAATCTTCAAACTCCCCGCAATTATAGCAGCACCTTGATATGTGATATATTTATAAATACATAAAATATGCGTCTTACGATTAAATCATATGAAATGTACATCCCATGTTGACTACTGGATATAAGCACACTCATGTTCATTGCGTAGCTTAGTACTCCCTATTCTTACAGTTCAACAAGCCCATTTCTTGATGTTCCAATCCCCATCCAAACCACCAAGCCATCAACTCCTTCGCAGGCCTTGATGGCCTCCACAGCGACACCTGACTCGTCCTCAATGACATCCACAGTTTTGCACCACTCCTGGCTACTGAGGGCTGGTGGTGCTGGGCTGAAGAGCCAACCAAACATACGGTTGACAAACAAAAAAAGAACGAAATGAAGATGAATTGTCTCCGAATCTGCCAGTAGGAAGGGACGCAATCATCGATCATGAAGTTTCTCAGTTATTTAACAGGGGATTTCTTGAAACATTGAAAATCAGATTAATTCAGCATAATTCAGTAATGAAGATGGATTGAAAACTGCAAAATATCGTGGGACTTTTCACTTTCCATTGCAAAAAATCAAAAACACTAAACATGTTTTTCGAATTTCAGCAATGGGTCGCTGAACCAGCAATGTTCTCTGATATTCGCTGGATTTCGCTGGGTTAAAACCCAGGAAAGCACACAGGAACCCGAGTATCCTATCCACCCAATGGGTCTTTGTGAATCTTGGGCGAAACCATTTTTGGACGTGGGCACCGAGGACATCCGAGGACTAAGTATTATACTACCAAGGCAAAGAGTGACAGTGGTGCTAAGGCATGGAACTTTCAGGTACCCCAATTTTCAGACAAACCTATATATTAATCCTTATGTAAACCTGCCCAGAAAGGGGGCACAGCTATCCAGCGCACAGCCTTCGTCGAGACCAGCCCGTGGTTTCCATGTCAGACACAAACGAAAGGTTAAAATATGTTGAAATAACCATATAAATCCCCCAGTGCTTTACCAGGTTGAAACTGTGCCAGCCAATCTGTAGATCAAAGCCATCTGGCATGACCTGTCCGTATAGAAAACTATTTTCAAAACCTTAGAACAGCAAACACCTAACAACCCTCACCTGACAGGTGGGGAACTTACGAATCTGTACTTTGAGCATTTTTTGCAGCTGAAATTTCTTATTTGTCAATATTTGCAGGGTTTTGGAACTTAAATATGTAATCTGCATTGTATTTAAAGCGTTTTGGCCTTGAATCCCTTGTTCGCACCATGCTCGCAGCATCTTGGAGCCAGCATCTGTGCTACACAGGGGATTCTCTGTAGTATTTCGTGGTACTTGCAACATAATGTCAAGAGCTGGTTTTAAGATCTATTTCAGGTTGGTTTAGGGTGTATTTGGGGATTATTTCTGGTTGATTTTCGGGGTTTCTGTACAGTTACTTTGGGTGTGCGCCTTTTCAATTGTATTACAGTTTAGATTTGGTTGTTTTAGGTTTTCTTTAGGATTCCTTTTCAGGTTTACTTCGGCTTGTGTTATATAGTGTTGATTTGGGGGTGTGTTTGTTTGGTGTCGATTTAAACTTGTTGTAGTGTGAATTTAGTGCTGGTTTGGTGCTTCTTTCGGGTTGATTTAGGGCCTTTTGAATGCTGGTTTAGATTTTGTTCAGGGGTAGTTTTAAAGTCAATTTCGGTTTTTGTTATGCAGTGCATGGTTTTATTTAGTGCTGGTTTAGGGCCTAGGGCTTAATTTATGGCTTCCTTAGGCTTTGCTGATGGTTCATTTGGATTGCATTATTTACGGTTTAATTTAAGTTTCTTTATCATTGTTTTGGTGTTTTATATGTTCAGGTTTGTGTTATATAGTGCCGATTTATTGGTTTGGTGCTTCTTTGATTTTGTTTTAATGTTTATTAAGTTTAAGTCAAGATTTAGGTGCCGTTCTAGGGCTTAGTTAGAGGCGACCAAAGGATCAGGGGAACCTTAAATACTTTAAGGTGCAATATCTTTCCAGGATCCTAGATCTGTTTTCCAGGACACTTAGATGTTTTTTTCCAGTATCATCCCTTCCCCAACAACATGCCCAGCTTGAGTACACTTTCCTATATTACAACACCCCCTCTGGACACCAATTGAAGCCAAGCACTGGATCACCCTATCTGTTGTTGAAACATGATCCATACATAAATGTATATATATATACGTGTATATATATATATATATATATACGATGTATGTGTATATATATATATAATGTCAAAATATATATAATAATAATCATAATAATAATGTATGTATATTAATATATTAAAAAAACATAATATTACATATGCTAATATATAAATATAAACATATATATATTATATATATAAACATATATATATATATATGTACACATATTTCAGACGGCAGATTGAAAGTGACCAATGCTGTGCCGGCTGTTGGAGTTAGGCGTACAGTAGCTGAATCCTGGAATAAAGAAATTAAAGGGAAAGCATGTAACATGGGGGCTGCTATCTAGATTGATGTACAGGTCTCCTCTCATTTCATTGTTTCCTCAAGACCACTTCTGACAGGTTTGCAACAACGCCCGCATCCGCCCACGATCTTGCGTCCTGAGGTGACAGATCTTTAAACCATGGTTGTTCTTCGAGGAACCTTAGATGTATCCGTCAGCGCCATGCCAGGTTTGATCCTGGCCTGCACAAAATTTTGCAGCATGTCCCTAAAGCTGTAGACAGCAGTATTTATGCAACTACGCAATTTGCGGATTGATGGGAATACAGTACCCCCAAGAAATAAGAAACCAAGGCCCCAGGAACTTGCACATGATTTCCCTCTCTCAACCAGTCATACCTGTGGCCCCCGTGTCTCTCCTAGATATCCTCTGACTGAAGACATGGGGCCAAAGCCATCCAAAGCCGCTGCGGCCGCTAGGGGCACAGATTTGCTGCTCAAATTAAACAAGTCAGACACTTCTGGTGACTAAACCATCCGGCAAACAAGCGTGACCTCTAGCCAATTTGCTGTGCAAGAGACTGGGCATGATCTGCCACAAAATTTTTCTCACACACGCGCACCTGTGCCGCGCATTCTCTCGGGCACGTGTGCAGAACAACGTACCCATTGGCTTCGTCTATGATGTCCTGCGACTGGGACACGCAACGTATGAACATCAATAAGTAATTAGTGCTAATGGGATTTGTGCGACGCATGAAGTGTAATTATCTGTATTCTGTGTTTACTACACGTACTATGGGTGCATAGTATGTTATGCATGTGATTGTGTCTACTCAAAACTAGATATGTATACAGTGTGTGTATATACACAGGAGTACACATGCATAATGTATACACAGAGAAAAACAACTTTGCTGCGTTGGCATTTTGAATTCGGGGCAATATCCATCAGTCCTCCTGTTTGTAGTTTACCTGTTCGTTTCCTCAGCATGCAAGATATTGCTGCGAGTAGCTGAGTAGCTACAATAAGTGTGGCCTGGTCTAATTGCCATCTGGCTGGTTGAGCCATCGACCAACAAAATCATGCTTCAATCATCTTCAATCCATTGCCATACAAAAAAAGTAACATATTCCATATGTCAAAGATCACAATACTGTCCAAGCTTGGAGACACGCACACACAAAAAAAAAAGGAAACCACTTTCCAGTCTGGGTCAGTTATGAACACTCATGGCCCAACTTGGGACTAATGGGGCTGCACACACTGTCGAATTTAGAAGATTTGAAAGCTATGACTCCTCATCACCATCCACCAAAATCCAAGGTACTGGGGATCGGCTCCCTGGCTGGCCACTCATTGGCCCATGCACGCAGCACTTCCATTGCTGTCCGTTGGCGCTTTTCCCCGGGACCTGATGGTGCAAGGCAGAATCGGAGATTAAATCCTTGGGTAACCAGGCATGACTGGCTGGGAAATCCTTTTCCTTTCTGGGGATGCATCGATCAAGCGATGTACCCAAACGATGAATAAATTAGGAAGTTACACTGCAGGCCCTTAGCAAGCCTGAGTCGTCATAAAGGCGCCGTTTCTTGCGCTCCTGAGGCATGCATGTTGGGACGTCTGGACAATTTTGTTTACATCATCTACATCCCAAACCTGCTGTAAAGCCAGGAAATGTTCGCCTCGCTGACTGTCAGCTTTACTGTGCAGCTCCAATCACTGACCAGCATTCTTGGAAAGATCGGCCATGAGGTTGCCGCAAAAACAGAAAGCTGGATTTGGCTACGCACACAAACAACATCAAACCACAGCCCACAACTGGACACAAACCAGCTCGCAACTGTCGCAACGGTGCACTGGTGTTGCAAACTCCACCTAAATAGTTTACTTTCATCTTTGGAAACCAATGATTGTCAGTCACTCAAACTGATTTCATCATATTTCAACCATCAAATTAGATGCACCCGTTGTCTTTTGCCGTGGTTCACCCACTTCCGTGCCTCCTGCAAAGGACAGAAGACTGCAGTCGGCGCCAGGCTCAAGCACGTGTTGCCTTCATTGTTGACGACCTCAGTGAAAGGGCCAAAAGACTGCACGGGATGGCATCACTGTGAATCAAATTCCATGGAATTTTCCATGGACGGAATGATGGGGTATTAACGGGTAGTAATAGTAGCACTTCAAGCCGTAGCAACGACTATTATAGACGATTCTAGACGAGGTTTGCTGCACACTCTACAAGCTAGACTCTAGACTTTGTTTGACACCCCAACTGCTGCTTGAGGAGTTGATGTGTTCCCTAGCAACCCTTGAACAATACAGTATCGGGACAAATATCGACAGACTGTGCCAATTCTTGACAAGAAAAACATTATGAAATTATATGATATTGAAAGATATGTATAATCACCACATATTGTATATATTAAGAATTATATTGAATTATATTGAATTAACATTAACATATTATATTAACATATTATATAATGGTCCTACTCCTAATATATTTCTATTCCCTGGAGACTTGGTGTTCCCTGCATGAGGCAGGCGCTTCCCATTCCAACGCCCAGGCGCTTCCAAATTCGCCCCGCCTTCCAACAAGGCCTGGGCCGCAGCTATCCTGTTTCCCCTGACAGCAAAGAACAACCTCAGAGAGGCACTACCGGCATGTCATAATGAGCTTCACCCATCTTGCTGTGGCTCAAAACTGTTTCGACACTTGGACCCACAAAATGCTTTTCATCCGTAAGAATTGTCAGGTACACCCTCTTTTTTGGGATTCGGAATTTGGCCCAGGACAAATCTGAACAAAGAACGGCCAAACCATCCCACCGAGAGAAAACGAAGTTGCGCAACTCTATTGGCAGCCCAGCAGCGCAGTTTCCCCATTCGTGTCCACAACGTTGGGGTCCAGGCCTTTGCTAATCAGATATCTAATTGTTTCTACATGGCCCCTCCGTGCCGCGTAGAAAAGTGCGGTTTGGTTCAGCGCCTTGGCTCCCGGATGAAAACCGAGTGGAGACGACGGCACGCATGGCACGCAGTCGCACACTCAAACAAAATCAAACAAAGTTCATCATCTACAGTATCAACCCATCTTTTTTGGAGGTACCGAGTTTGGGTCCATACCTCAAATGTATCACTGTCTGATTGGTGGTTGAACGTGTTCAAACTACCCTTCCAACAGGCACTTCTCAAGGGGGATTCCTCATGGAATAATTGCATGGTTGAGAGTGCCAACCCGCTATTAACATAGTAATAATGATATATAAATGTATATATATATATAGATAATTCATTATAATTATATATATATATAGTTATAATACATCATTGTTGATCTACTCTTTCTGTGCGTTGAGTGCCTTTCTAGCTGAATCTCATTTTGGAAGATTCTCCATCCAACAGGATAGGCAACAACTTGCTCTTTGTGCATCTCCCGGACCCCAGGCACAGCACAAATGAAACTTTATTTGGCATGATCTGGGTGGGGCTCAAAAATGAAATGCTGAACCAGCAAAATTCATCCACATTTCGGGGGTACATATTTTTTAAGCAAAAACCGTTCGGCCATTTGCCCTTTAACATCCTTAAGCATCACTTCAGGACTCTGCCAAGCCACGTCATGATCCTTCAACGGGATGCCGCGCTGGATCAGAAGCTCGCACAAAGACTTCGCCTGCAGAGAATGCCAGGCCCTCAAGAGACAGGGAACCTGCTTCTTGCTTTTTGAGTAAGGCAAGAAGGTTTGTTGCATAGGGTATTCATTAATAGTATTCACATGTTATAACACAGGTACTCGGCATTGCGGGTCCCACTTAGCGTCAACACCATCCTTCGTAGTTCCATCCACTTGACAGAAGTATGTTGAGCTGCTTGGCTGCAGCCTCCTCGTCGGCTTTTCGCCGGCGATTTGTGCGATTAGCTGCGAAGAACAAAGCGCTATGACGAAGGGGCAAGTAACCTCAGAAGAAGCCCGCAAAAGATTCAACAAACCTAAGGGTTGCTAAAGCATGCCACATCACCTCTTCAAGATGGACGCATTTTTGCAGCTCTTCTCTTGTGTCCTGGGTGCCTGGAACAAGCCTCACCAGAAATAAAGAAAATACAGAACTAGTTTTCACCCCTCTCTGATTGAGGCTTGCAATCTGAAAAACAAGCCCATTTGCCAAGCCACGCATGGAAAGAGCTTCATCAGAAGACCGTGTGATGATCTCTTTCGCGCTTTTGAAACTGTCATCCTCAGTTAGAGCTCGTTTGCTCCAACATGCTCCAACATCCTCCAACATGCTCCAACACTGGACTCATGACCCTTGTATAAGGTGTCCAAAATTCATTAACCTCTAAAGACTCTAAAGTTTGAAAGTCTAAACAACGCCACAAACAAATATGAGCCGATCAGGATCAAGCATGGTTTCCAGCAGGGACGCTTGAAGAAAACGCAAGGGGTCGCCACTGGTCAGTTCAGGTTCAGGGTTTTATGTTTCCAGACTGGGCCCTGGTCTTGAAAGCTCTGCTCCATCCTCTGTTGTCTCAAACGAATAAAAACAAACTTGCCTGGATAGTCAATTGCTTGTCAAGAACTTGCTGTCCTGATTCACCCAAATGTACCTCCCTGATAACTTCACAGTCGGTGCTTTCGAGAGCATGAATCCTGTCAAGGTTTAAACTCAGTCCCAAACATGTCCAAGCTGTCTTGGTTTGCGCCCTTCCCGTCAACCCCCGTGCAGCAGTCTGATTCATTCAAGATTCTCTGATTTTAAAGAAAAGGTTGTTCTCCAGAACCATGGCTGCCCCCCAAAAAAAACGTGACACAGTGAGTCAAGCTTCTGAGCCAAAAGCTAGATTTATGGCAGTAAATGAATCACTGTAGTGGGGATTGTACATTCCCAATAAGGCGATTGGCATATCATAGACTTACATCCCGTGGCCATAGCGGGACAAAGCCTGCCTAAGTCCAACAAGTTGTATCCTGAAAGAATCTACATGTATACTTGCGTGTACTTGTCCGTATGTCTTTACATGATGTCATAGATGTACGTGTACGTGTATGCGTATCTATACGTATATATGTGTATCTATGTGTAATTTGTCTTGGTATATGTATGTGCACGTATATATGTGCATGTGTATGAAGCCGTTTATGCAACTCTGTATGTAACTGTGTAGGTGCTTGTGTATGTATGAGTGAATGCGTGTAACTACAAACAGCATGTATAATGTGTATATACGTGATATGTATGTATATATATATAGACAGAAAATGACAGAAAGACACATATATATATATGTATATATATATACACACACGCAAATGTATGCTGTTGTGATTGTCTGTATGTGCGTACAGGTTAGATTTACTGAAACCAATAGCCAGAAATTGTGTGGCTGCGACAATCAACAACAATATCAATGCGATGGTGTGCAGTATCATAGCTACGCCACCGACATGCGACCATTGGATTCACTAGGCATCCCTGCACACCAGTACGGTGCTCTTTGGCTTAAAGCCAGCCTGCGAGCTGTGCCCAATCCCAAACACCCCTCAACCACGGAAAAGAACCAATTTTTGGGCATTGGGAAACGCATCTTTTCCTGAGTACTTCAAGATGTTTCAAGGTTTGGGCCAAGAGATGGGGGTTGGGCAGAGTTCTACATCATTCCAGCAGAAGCAAGTTCTAACTCATATTGTGCAGGCAACAACACAAACGGCGCCAGATACATCTCTTGCACATGCTAACCATGTCTTTTCAACAAGCTGTGCCTTTCGATCATCAAACATTTGCAAGGTTTGGGACACATTTCCGTGGATCCAAATTTGATAATCTCGCGACCTCTATTGGGACCCACTGCCACCTGTATTTGGGACCCACTCTTCAACTCTTATGAGTCCAAAATGGTCTCGGTCTTGGTGCCCAATTGCTTGTGCTTGGGTTTGACCCGTTGCTCTATCAAGCTACAACATATATTGACATCAAAACCCATAGGCCCATATAGCATTCCATTCAGAGTCCCCCTGAAATCCTCATGTTGGCAAAAGTCTCCGATATTATCCCATTATATCCGCCATTACAGCCAATTATATCCCCTGATATTTCGCTGAATTATGTTCCCTAAAAATCCCAGTGTTCCATTATTATACACCCATTATAGTCAAGTCCATCGTTGCATTGTCGTTGTTCCTTAATATGCAATCAAGATAAAATCCCAAGTCATCCCATTGTTACATTGATATTGATTAACAAATTAGTAGTACTAGCCCAAGTTACCATTATATTAATACTCATAAAAACATATAGTTAATATACTAATGTGACACCATTAGATATGCCAATATGGAGCTAGTATTAGGTACTATTGTCTAATTGTGCTGCCAATCTTACTTATTACCATCTGGTTGTTTAATATAGCCGTGGAAAATCACCATGTTCAATAGGTAAACCATCTATAAATGGGTCATTTCCCATGGCTATGTTAAATAACCAGAGGGTACCATTTTTAGATTTTCATGTTGACAGTCCAATGCTCTCCTGTTGCGCAAGGGCACCCACCTGGCTGTCCAAGATGGCCATGGCAGCTCGGTGGCCTGTGCTCGGTCCTGTGCTCGGTCACATAAGCCACTTGTCTATCGGGTGCATATGTGTAAATGATACAAATATATAGACATATGGCTATGGATCAATATCTATACAAATACCATTTTTAATGGGATGAACATCCATTTTAAAACCAGCTATTTTGATGTGAACTACAGGGGTACAAGGTTTTGACACACTGCCATATGTGTAAATGAAATATAGTTGAATGAAATGTAGTGTAATGCAATGTAATGATATGTAATGTAAGTATGTGAGTAGTTCAATTTGTATATGCTTTATGTATAATGCATGTCTACATATGAGCATATATGATTATTAATTGATATACATGGCACCAGAATGATCGCTTAAGGTATGGCCTGGTAAATATTCAACATCTGGGACATCCCGGTTACATACAAATATATATATATATAATTATGTACACTAGTATTGGCGCTAACATTATGAGATTCGATTCAACTGGACAACTATTTACATCGGTTTACTAGATCCAGAAATCATTGCAGGACCATTTGTATATAACTTGTTGATCTCACCCATGTGAGGACAACATAATCAGATGATTGCGATTTTTTAAACCACCCCGATTTTTGCAGCTCTGTGGTCCTGCTAGAGAGCTACCAGCACACTAAGGAATTCCAGTTCCCATGCCCCGGGGAACAACCTAAAAGCTGCCTGATTGAGGGGGGTGTTTTCTTTGCTCTCCAGATCTGTTTTAATCACAATAAATCTAATTTTTTGTTGGTGGCAGTCTCCATTGTTGTACCAGAATTGTTGTACAGTAATCAAGTCCCTACACTAGGCTATAGTAGGTCTGCTGGAATTCCCACGTGAGTTAGATGTTTCATTCCAATGCTGACCTTTGATCCCACGTGCTCTTAGATTCACAGTGAACTGAAGGTCCCATTTGTATTGCACAGTGAACTGACCAGAAGTTGTTGACGCAATCAAATCCAAATTATTCTTGAATTTATGTGTTTTGTTTCCATCCTAGATCCAAGCTAGGATAGTCACCATCAACCTATTAAGACGGACAACAAACAGTTTTTCAAACCACGATCATTGTTTTCTTGCTGAAGTTTCCTCACTTGTTTGTAGATGTTTGCAGGTATCGTAACAAACAAAACATGTCATTGCTGGAAAGAACAACAACACTTGACGCTTAAGTCCCTATTGATGGTTGGCTGGTCAAATCCCATTGATGGTTTGTTGATGCAGTGATTGTTAGCTACTCCCTAGTGATGGTGTATCACTCCTATGTTTTTTTGTTTGAAAATATGTATCTCTGTATATATATATATAATATATATATATATATATATAATATATGTATATAATATATATATAATATATTTATATATATAGTATATATATATATAACTAGTCGCTATTGGCTATTGATGCTTAATCCCTGTTAATTGTGAATCCCATTGTTGACAATTCCCCAGAGCAAACCTCCATGGAAATCCATGGGTCACCAGGCCTGCAAGGCCCGAAGCTGCCGTGCAGCTTCAAACTCGCGGAAGTAGCACAGCTCTGAGCACAGATGCCTGGGGCGCTTCATCAAAGAAGCAACGACAATGATGAAATCAACCAGAAAAAATGATGAAGAATTATTCAATGGTTTGGCCTGAGGGAAAATTTTACTGAAAACCACCGGTTTCGACCCTCAAAGATAGGGTTTCCATGACATCAATAAACAATGAAAGGTTCAAACATGGGAGATCGATAAACACAGATTATCATGAACAAATAACAACAAATATGTATATGATACTGAAAATATAGTAAAATATAATATAAATCAGTAAAATATTGTGTAGAAGTAAATACAATATACATATTCATAGTATGTACGTACACACGTAAATACATTATATACATTACTCTAGAGTACATTACATTACATTACATCTATGCATCAATGCATGCACACATACATGTATATAGTACACAAGGTACACAAACACACACACAACACAATGCATACACATATATATATACACAGTATACATTACACTTGGACATGACGAGAGACATTGTGGTGTTATCAACGGAAACATGGGACGACCAACAAACAAGGGACTTACAATATGAGCCGTGATTTGACCAACGCTGGACAGTGAGACTACGTGAGAGTACCTGCGGCTACTGAAGCTGAAAGCGGCCATTTTTCAGCAGCACTTGGATAAAGCAATACATCACCTGAAATTCAACTGCTGGAATCTGACATGGCTCCATATACAAATCTCAAAACCAATCTTTTTAGTCATGGATTTCAAACTGTTTTCAATGATGCCCTGTTCACCAGAGCCTATAAGATCCAGGGCCTCCAGAATCCAGTTGTATAGCAGTTGTACAGATGTTTTTCCTCCTTCTATTTTGAAGGTCCTTGCCTTTGCAACCTGTTTCGAATTTTCAAGATACTATGTTTGTAATTACTATTTGTAGTATCCATATGAATACATATGTGATCATATGTGTTCTTATGTGTTTATACTTGTGTACAATGATGGCCGCTTCCGAATGCACATGAACACAAACAAACGGTCACCTGCTACACCGCTAAAGCTAGCCACAGCTGGGGGTGACTGGTGATTAGGAGTTGATTCGGGTTATAAGCCCATGATTGATCATACAGTAGCACTAGTAGCAGCTCAAGGAAAAGTTGGAATCCTGGAACTTTAGAAGGTCAACCTCCAAAACACTCAGCAACCCTTTTCCATTCTGTGAAACGGAAATCATGGTTCAATGGACAAAAACTTGTGGATCGTCCATCTCCATGGTTTGTCTGAAATCGAGTAACCCCGAAATCCACGGGTAAATCAACATGTTCCCATTGAAACGAAACTGTGGGGGGTACCTATACTCAATTTTCAGATATACAAAATGTCATGTTGGTTGTATCCCTAGTCTATTGCCATGACGTCCACATTGAACAATTAGTTTTGATTATATTCCCCAATTAACAACCACCAATTCTGTATTTTTTGTTCAACTATTATCTATTTATATATATATACGTATTATGGTATGTATGTATCTTGGATATATATATATATACATCATGTAAAAATCAAAATATGTATATGTGTAAATAGTTAAATATGTTTATATATGTTTTTGTTTATTCTATATATACTTATTTATTTATCTATGTATTTTTCATTTACTTATCTATTATATAATGATATATATACACATATTATGTATGTAATATCCCCATGTTGGAATCATAAAGGTTAATACCTCCCACCAGGACCGCTCCAGTGCCGTCCTGCAAGTCCCCTGGCGACGATACACTTCACAGCGCTGCTGCAATGCCTCCAGGCTCTCAGGAGCCTCAAGGATTGGATTGGCAAACCTTGGGCGGATTGGATCGGCATAGATTCGAATTGTTCATCGAAGACTTCGAAGAAAATGCAGAACATCGACTTGGTCTGGGACTTGTGTCCTGCACGCCGTTGGGTTTACAATGGTTACAGTAATAATCTGTAATAGTTGGTTAATAATGGAATATAATATAGTTATAATAAATATATATATATATAATTATATATATATTGGAATATCATATCTAATAATAGCGATTCTCCACACAGACCCTGCGCGCACTCTTCCCATAGAGGCATTGTTGTTCCTCGGTGCCTCGTGACTTTGCTGCGCTCTGCGAGAACGCTGCGGGAGGGCGACGCATGGATGCCTCTGCTAATCGATGGGAAAACAAACTCGAAATGACTGGGATAGATTGAAATGATCCACGGAATCCACTTCCATCCTCTATGAACGTACCCATAGGATCCATGTATGCTATATATATGGTAACATTTACCATCAATATACCCCAAATGTTAGCATATATACCATACATGGATCCTATGAACGTATATTGCGTATGTGTTCAATTCACAGGTTTGATTACCGCAGTGTATGCAAAGGATTGAATCCCTTTTCTGGTCGACTTGAAATGTCTTAGTCATTTTGCATTATTCACTAAGAGGGGAAAATAAACACATTTTGAACCACACATTTTCTTCGCGGAAATCCTCATCCTTGGTTGATCACAAGTTTGCTTAGTCAATCCCATCAATCCCATTGTGAGAATACCGGTGGGTTATGGACAATTATTCGCATTGATGGTTAAGTTGTAGACCAAAGACTAGTAATCCATATTAATCCAAACAATTCCAAACAATATTAATCCACATCAATCCCGTAATCACACATTGATAATATTGATATCCACATATATCCACCAATATTGTTGGTTAATTCCCCATTTCAGCCATCCTGACTTCACGCCGTGCGCCTTGGGCATGTTGTCAGGGCCTCTACAGCCTCGGAGCGCAATTTCACTGGTGGAACATCATGGGAACCATGATGGGAACAACTTTGATCATGAGATGTTTATGGATCCCATCATAGTTCCCACCATAGTCAGATGGGAACAACATGGAACAACTATCATGGATTTGTGTTTTGCTTGTTTTAGAGTTTCCCCCAATCTGAAAACACAATCCCAGCTGTTCAAGGATCGACCTGTAGTGGTAGCATGTTGTAGCCTGGGTGAAAAAGATTGACTCCTAAACATGTTTGGCTTTGATGTTCAATAATTAAGCGGATGTGAACCAAAGATCGAAACTAAATTGGAACCCTGACAGCTGGGATGATCATATGGGTGTAATAGAATGCTGGAGCCCCCAACAAGCCAGAAATTTACTGCAAGACCGCTTCTATTCCAGTCCAGTTTGGACTCCAAACTTTGGGATCAAGACGAATTTGCAATTCCATTGGCGAGAGGGACACAGAGACACAATACCTGAGACTTATTAAACTCACAAAAAAGTTCATTCGGGAGTAGGAAGAAGTGTTTGCTCTCTTAGATCTATCAAACATTAATTGAATCTCAATGAATATCAGGTCATCAAACCACATAGACTTTCAAAAGGTCCCCAAAATCCACAGTTCTCACCTCCAAACACCCACAGCTTTTTTAACGTCATCCCCAGGTGCCTCCACCTTGGCGCCACGACGCTCGCACCAAGGACATCCTGAAACTTTGGCACCTCATAGGGTCGCAAAGTGGAGCAAAAGTCCATTTTCTGTGGGGTATTCTATATATAGCTATTGAAAATGGTCATTTATAGTGGATTTTCCCATTAAAAATGGTGATTTTCCATAGTTGTGTTAGTTTACCAGAGGGTATTCTATATATTTGCCCATGCATGTTTCATCCAAACAAAACAAAGCTCCACAACCGAGGTTGTCAGCTTTCCATCTCTTCACATATAAGGACCTTAAGGATGCGGAAAGAAAAGGACAACACAGTCTTGGATCTGTCCAGCGCACAGAATCGGATACCGCACAAAAAGGTGTACATGCAAATTTAATCCGAAAACTATCGAACAAAAAAATCCTCTATGCATCACCACAAGATTTTTTCCCCGGGTTTTGCAATCCCATCTGAAGGCCCCCTGCCCCTGCCCTGGCCTTTACAATGGAAGAGCTGGTCGGACACCAAGTCACCCAGTCGGGACCAATCCAGTTCCTGGGGAAGCACCAATTGAATGCACAACGGGTGCTACTGGACATGGACACTCAAATATTGCCAAAAGCCCTCAGACTTGTTATTGAAGCAAATAGGTTTGGGATGGTTTAACTGGCTGCTATGAGATATCACAACGTCACCAGATCATCCCACCTCCTTGTGGGAGTGTTCCACAATGACGTCGCTGTCAGCTTGATCCTCCTCAGCAGAAATGCCACGACTTCGGCTTGCCAACACGATTGGGCAACCTGAGATCTAGAGAGGATATGACAAGTCCTTCGTAGATTGGGGATGAAGGGCTCTTGATCGAAGTTTCATACAAGACATGTATGTACAGATACATGTATACCTTGTGGCTTACAACCCCTTTGAACCAGAGCAGTCGCATCAAAAGTCAAAAGCAAAGAGCCTAAATGACTCTGCACATCTGAAACGAATGATTCAGAGGATTCTTTAGAACTGACAGGCTGGTGGTGTCCCATGGTTTCAGCCCCTTCTAAAATGTGTTCTCAACGGCTGGCAACAGCTCATCTTCCCCAGGTAGCCTCAGCCGTAGGTGGGAGTGCCATCGATGCTGGCTCATCTCTCCTGGGTTGCGGTCCAAGCTGAGAAAATCTTCAATACTGTAAGACAAGGACAGAACAGGTACATAAGAAATCAGAAGACATCGTTCTCATGGGAATCCCCGAATCCCCTGCCTGAAGATGAACCGTTTATATATAATTTTAGATATGGTACCCTCTGGTAATTTAACGTAGCTATTGAAAATTGTCATTTATAGTGGATTTTCCCATTAAAAATGGTGATTTTCCATAGCTATGTTAAATCGTTAAATTACCAGAGGGTATATTGTTCCACTTGGAACACCCCAATCATGTACCATATGATGATCCATATGAGACGGGTCAGGTGTGTAGTTGTGTGTGTGTTTGTTTGGGGTCATCACGGATTGGGAAACACCAAATTGTTGAAGAAGTTCTGGGTCATCCCGGTTGACACAAGCATGCCAACTATATAGGCATAAAAACTGAACAAACCCACCGGCCAGGCTTAACTAGAAGCCAAGTTTCTGTTTTTCGGCAGGCTCCAAACTTTCCTTCTCTCCAGTGCCAGGTACTTTGCCTTTGTCCTTCTTTGCACTGTCGTTTTTTCGGCGTTTCTTTGGCCTCCACATCTTTGTCAACGCGGCCATCTGTCTCAAAGGCTTCGCCTGCAGGTCATCTTCCAGGCACTGTCAAAGTCCTATGCTCTGAACATCTCTGAACCATCTGATCCATTCAGTTCCAAGGCATCAAGGTATCCAAATCGTTACATATATCAATTGCATCAAGGCTCATGTACAATTTCGGATAATGATGGAGTCCGCAATCTGCCTTCCCAACCGGCGCCATCTCCTTCTCTGGGGCGATCTTTGGGCCATCCTCGGGCCAGGGCGATGGTGGGGGGTTGGCATGGGATGGGAAAAGACACCATTTTTAGTTCTGGATCCAAGTGGGATCATTTGGCAAAATTGGGAACTGCTCTTTGTGGAGATGTTGAATGCTGAGAGACACACCCATCATTCTGGCTAAAAAGTGAGGTGGACTGGAAAACGTGTCGCAGTCCCACTGAGGTATCGACCTCATGAATCTCCATGATGACATCGCTATCGGACTCCCTCTCCTCCAAGGACCTCTGCTTTGGGGCCTCTTCCTCCACCGAAATCTCTGCTGGCTCTACCACTGGACCTCTGGCGCTTGGTCCATCCGAATCTTTGGCGGCCAGGCCGCTATCTGGGACCACTGCCAGGGCTGCCGGGGCTGCCGCTGCTGGCTTTTTTCTAGCTCTTCTTGCGGGCTGATCCTGTGCAGCCAGGCAATGATGGAGCAAACCTTTTGAACACAGAGCTTTTTCGCGGAGTTTTTCGAGAAATCAGCTTCGTTGGGCTGCAAAATTGATTTCAGCACACAGTGTCAAACTCTCTCTGTCGTTCTGCAAGGCTTGTGGTTTGTGACCCATAAACTGGGAAGCCAATCCAGAAAAGGTGCGTCCAAACAAACAGCAGTTCATAGTATCTTCGCAAAAAAAAAATACCAAATCATACCAATACAATCCAATACATTCCGTTTTTATTCATTTTCTGGATTTCAGGGGCCTCAATTTCTAGGAAGCTTCCAAAAAAGTGTCAGTCGCCGCTAGTCGCTTACAAGATGTCATAAAATGCCCACTCCACCATCCATTGCCCAACTGCCGTACGAGGCCTCAACGGACTCTTTGGGTGATTTCTTTGCACCTCCATTGATTGCGCTGATGAAACACCAGGATTGTTCTGCACGGGGCTCCCAGTCTTGAGTATCAAAAAGATGAGGGAAACAGAGACGTTGTGACTTGTTCATGTCCATGCCAAACAACCAGGCAAAAGTGTAACATTGTAACAATGGGATGGCCAAAGGCTTAGCATCATCCAACATAGGTATCGGCCAAGAAATGGGTATCACAGGCACGAATATCTCCAGACATGACCTTTTCCAACAAGCACACCGACTCTGGTGTCAAAGCTCAAGACCTGTTCATTGTTGACAAATATCGGTTGGCACAGTAACTCTCAAAAAGACTACTCAGAGAAGTTTATCATCGCAATTACTTAAAACTATATAACAGCTTATCGAAATTAAGCACTACAATTTAAGTTTGCCATCAATATCATTACAATCAATACTTGATCATATCTCTGGCTGAAAAATCAGCATTCCCTAAACTGAAACAAGGCTACTTTGGAATCGTTTCCCATACTAACCATGATTCCAGTAATGTCGCAATGAGGTCATCATCATTCATCCATTAAACATATATTCTTAATGTGTCATATATTATGATTATTATTATTGTTATTATTATTATGATTACTATTATTGTTATCATTATTATTGTTACTATTATTAATATTATTATATATGTATATATTAATTATATAATAAGCACAATATAAATCCCCAAATCCCCATGGCTGATCCATGGTTGATCCATGGCTGCCCAACTCGTGGCGAAAACTCGTCTCACCTCGGCTCCGCAAGGTCCAACCGACGGCCACACGGGCGCGTTCGGCCACCAGCAGCTGGAGCTTCAAGGCCTCGTCGACTCGAACGAGGCCTGGACCGGACCTGGTGATCCTTGGACAATGGCTATGCGACTCATACCCATAGGATCCATGGTGCTGCTATATATGGTAACATAGATCCCATCAATATACCCCAAATGTTAGCATATATACCATACATGGATCCTATGGGTATCATTCATATCTCATATCATGTACTTGGGATATCTAGGGATGTCTGGACTATTGAGATCTATTGAGGATAAACTGTTTTTTTAGGATCATTTAATAAGGTCATGTTTGGGAATTTCGGCTGGTCACATGATTGGCCAACCATGATTTCGCTGAGGGATGTTCAAGTACCCATAACAAATGTTCAATGATGTCACTTTTCTCAATGATCCATTATTATTATCTATGTATCTTCAACCATCTAAGGATCTTTGAACATCCCCAAATCCCCAATTCATGAGTCATACATGATATTTTCACATGGATGTTCAACACCCAAAACGTATTCGAGCCACCAGCTCTCCCAAAAAAGGGAGACATAGAAGGATGCTTCCACCACATCTACCAGGTACTATTTACTGTTTACATCATCGAACGCATCCTTGAAGCCATCATTATCTTCATTTAACCATCATTTAACCATGATTCAAACATCATTTAACCATGATTTAACCATCATTTAACCGCATGTCAACACCAGCTTTCCTGCTTTCCCCATGTTTGTTCCAGCTCCAGGTCGGCCTCCTCCTTGGTGGATCTGCATCGTCTCAAGCTCTTCAGCTCTGTCCACAGGACACGCAGCGAGGCCTTTGGGCGTTTTTTGGGGGGTAAGTTGGACTATGGGGAATATGACCAACAATGAAGATTGGATTCAAACTAAGAAACCTTCGGGATTTTCTTATATAAGAGGTCCACCAAAACAGTAGATTTCCCTTACATCATAGTAGATTGACCCTATGTAGAACAAATAGTCGTTCAATTCCGTTTTCTACTTTTCAAATTTCCTAACTCTTGAAATGATTTTTCACAACTATCCAATTTCCCAATTGCTAAATTTTGAATCTTGGGGAAGTTCATGGAAATTCAACATCAAGTAGTCGCATTCCCCATTAAATCCTTTTTTGTAATTATCTTTTTGTTGGGTATATATCCCAGAAAAAACTTTGAATCACCATTATACCAGCATTTTTCCTGGTTCAAATATCTTAAACGCAAATAATCATCAGACCACTGTTGTTGGTATCCCACCATTAAACAAATATTTGGTATCAAACATGGTTGGTATCCCACCATTATAACATTATAAACGCAAATATATTAAACACATTCAAACACCATTATCCCACCATTTTCGTGAAACCTTCAGCTCCGCCTGTGCCGTGGGAGTGGCCACCTGGATCTTCTGCAGTAAGTCCCTGGCCGCGCGGAGGCCTCCGGGCTTCGGCAACCGACAAAAATGGAGGGATTTCCATGGTTTTTCTGCGGATTTATGGGTCTGAACCAACAAAGATGATGGGAAAAGATGTGGGAACCGATGATAATCATACAATAACTGAACATATGGAGGTTCAACTGGTTGTACAATGAAAACAGATGGGGACTCAACTGCATAATAAATAGAAAATGTTGTTCAACTGAATATATTATGATCTGTAAACAGTGGGCTTCGATCTGCGACTTGCTGGAAAAATGGCGAGGACTTAACAGAGTGATGTTTAAGCATCACAAAGTGTTAAACAGTTGCAACTGACGTCTTCCAGCCCTAGATTTAATATTCACTGCTTAATCATGTTTAATATGTTCAACGATCCTGCACAAGAAACAACCAAACCTTTAAGTATGTCCACATTTAACTTCCAAATGGGAATGGATTATCTTCCAACACCAGCTGCTCTAGCACATCTGACCAAAAGGTAAACATGGACTGTGCCGGCTGTGGTTCCGAACGTTCTTCGCCCCTGCTTCTGGCCTATTGCAGCGGTGGACACAGGTGGCATAGCTGGGTCGAATTTTTCTAGACTTGTCTGGATACGTTAGTTTCTACTTTGAAATATGTTTGTGAGGCTTACGCGGAATTGGCCGTCTGGTGGGTGTCTGGTCAATCCCTTTGTGGGAGTCCAATCGCTTCAAAACTCGAACACTTTGCCATACCTTAGCCGTCGGATATTTGTCTGGGTAGTTGAGATGGTCAGCATATTGTTCCCCGTTCTTCCATCTTATTACTCGGCCAACTGACCCCACCACATCCATCACTTTCCAGGGGCCGCCGGGCCTGTGCAAGGCTGCAAAGGTTCGCTAAGGCCTGCGCCATCGCCACCTGCTGCAGGGATGGACCCTGGCTGTTATGGAACGGTAGATTGGGATCTATTATGATATAATGATATATTGTACGATATACGTTGATATTATATACACCCGCATTTGAAGGGTCGACCAGAACAACATATGGGCAGAAAGTATCGACTGTTGGGTAGACAACGTAGAAAAAAACATAAAAAACAACAACAAATACTGTAGGAGCTTAACATAATTGACGCAACACCGATTGGAGGTTTGCCCGAATTCAATATGGAAAAAACAATAGGAGGCCACTATCACCTGCATTTGCTGGCAGAATTGATCCTTCCAGATCTTCCAGTTACCTTGGCAAAACCGTTTCTGGTAGTACAGTAAGAAAAGGCGGATGTAGAGTAAGTACAGAGATGCAAACGATTATCTGATTATCCACATAATACATGCCATCGAAGATGTATGTGATTTAAACCGTCTCTCTATCTAACTGTCTGATTATTTTATGCGAGTTTATGCATGTATTTTCATGTATCTGATCTATAACATATGCTGCTGGAAACGTGTCTCAATATCAATGTTTTGTCCAAACAAGCAGTACAACACGAATGTGATTCTTGCAATCAGAATGGCTAGGCTGTGCACATATAGTTTATTGATGTGGGGTGCAATAGAATATATATATATATATATGTACACATGGATATTCATACAGCACTAGCACAGTACAACACATTATGATCACATCATGTATATATTCTTGTTTATTTACACACTTTTTCGATGGGCACTGAAAACAGTAGTTGCACCTCATCAGAACCATCCTCTGGTGGCACTTCTGGGTGTTCCTGCGAGCCATGGGTGTCCCATGGAAATCTTCGAATCGAAGCTGCACATATTTCTCAGTGGTTCGTGGTGAACCGACCCATATGTATAAAGTGCTTGCCATTTTGGGGGGGATGGATTTGAAGATTGCTCATCCAAAAAGGTGGAAAACACATTTCCAACTACAATCAGCCAAGTACCCCCATCACAACTTCAAATTGCCAAACAGTTTCCAGTTTTACTCCCTTCCGGGGATTGCTGACCCAAACTCAGCAGCATCATGGAGTGGTCATCTAGCACAAACTCCACGGTCTCTCAAAACAAGCCAAGTTGTCCAAAAAATCTTTAATAATCTTAACTTGACCGGAATCATCCCAAAGTCATCTGAAATCATCTAATTTCACATATATATGTATATATATATAATTTATAAATGACTCTATAGACATATTGAGCTCTATCATAGGGTTGGGATCCTTGTCTCCACATCATTCGGAAATCACACGGTGACCGAAAAATCTGAAAACTCCGCCGGCCTCTTGTGCTGCAAAGAAACGGCTCTGCATGGCCCGCCGTGGATCCACGTCCCGCTCCGGCATGCTCGGCATGCTCCGGCTCCACGAAGCCAAAATCAGCTGGAATCATCCCACAAAGCGTGGAAAAAAATGAATTGGAAGACAAACAGCAGAAAAGTATCGCAGAGAATTCGAGAATGTATGAATGTATTGGACAAACTTTATGTACAACATTGTAAAACTGAGTCTGGAAGCAGTTTCGACGCACATCTTTGGGATGTCATTGAATGTCGTCTTTGCGAAAGGAAATGCACATTGTGTCAGCACGAAACACCATGTGACACATGTCTCCAGGCAAACCAGAATACTTCTCCAACCTGAAAAAACCAAATGACTCAGATAACCCTCTTGTGGGATGAATTTCCGTGTAAACCACCACCTACGGGGTAATCGTGGTGAGGTTGTATCATTCACTTCCATCTGCGTGCTCTTTGGGATTAAACAGGATCAATGTAATTGTCGGCGCAATTGTATGCGAATTATGTCAACCCCAGCATGAATCTCCATCACGCCGCAGCACTGACTGACGTCTTTCCGTCCAAGACTGCGTGCTCCACGACTACTACAGCCTGCGGGGGCTGCATGGAGAACCGAGGCACACTCAGTATTCTGCGCAAACAGCACCACACATATGGCAATCCAATCTGATTGGTTGACCCATCCCCAAAATTAGGCAATTCGCATCATCATCGCAGGCAGGATGGAAACAAACACCGTGTCAAACACTTGAAACTTCCAACCAGTAATGATCCGATTTCCGTAGATTTCCCACGGTCTGGCTCTACAAGTCACACACTCAGTTTGAATCAGCTTGATTCAGTTCTATCTTCAAATGTAGCACCTCAGCGGCAAAATTGTAGGTTTTCTTGGTGATCTTAGTTAGAATACATGTGTATATATATATATATACAATAATATAACAACATATCATATATAAAAAGATATCATAGATAATAAAATATCATTAAAAAAATAATATATATAATAAAAAACAAAATAATAATAAAAATAATAAATAATATAAAATAATATAATATTACCATATAACAATATATTATAACTTAATTATATATAATATAGTTTAATATACTATAATATAATATGAAATAATACAAAATAAAAAAGAATATATAATATAATAAAATATTGTAATACGATATAACATAATATGAAATAATATAATATAATATAAAATAATAAAATATAATATACAAAAATATGATATGATATAACAGAATATAATAGAGCAGTAAATCATAAAACATAATATAATATAAAATTGGTAAAAAATAATACAACGTAAATACAACATAAAATAATATCATAAAAAAATCAATATAATGCAATATATAATTTAAATAGATAATAGTAAATATTATATATATATATATTTATTATTATATTATAAATAAATATATATCGAATCTCTCCAGAGGCTTTGTGGAAGACCACCTGAGCACCATTTTGTCCACCAAAAATGTGATTTCAACTTTCAAAAAAACTGACCAACCGCTAGAATGGACATTTACCCCACAAGAACTGGGACAAGATCCAGATAAAATTTGAATTGGGCCTATATTTATCAAGGCCAACTGAGCTACAGAAGGGTTGTAGTAGTTTGAATTAAAAATGTGAAAAAATGTGAAAAAATGTGTTTCAAAAATGCTTCGAGTTTCATTTTTTGTGCGGTCAAAGCCCTGGGCACCGCAATTCGCACTGCTCTGTCCAAATCAAATCATCCATGAAACAAATTGAATCGTTGCTTCGCTTTGATTTAATTGTCGAAACGTTTCGCATGAAGGATGATGGCAAGTCAACAAAATTCAACCATACTATGAATATACGAGCTGTCCCAATTCCACATCAGGACCAGTTTTTGCATCTGTGTAAGGCTCAAGTAGCGACTTTGGCTACCGATGACCTGTAGTGTCCGGAGGCGTATTCTGGGGACTTCCCAGCATCTATGCTGGCCACCGAAAGCAACTCTATTGCGCCACCGGGGACTTCTTATTCTTGTCCAAGGCATATTTGTGCACCTTGGCAAGGCCCAAAATCTATCCCACATCCCGAAGAGCTGCTGGGCTCAAACTGTTGCAATGCATTGTAGAGACAAAGAATTTGAGTCTGTGAGGAGTCAAAGAAAACATTGCAGGTCAAAACAATACATGATCAAACAAACACAAAATGGCACAAGACCTAGCGCAGTCAGTGGCGTGTGATCACCAATTTTCCCACTTGTCAGCCAGAATTTTCCACATGTGCGAACACAAGAAATGAAAGTCACAGGGATGCCAAACAAAAAAATCCGAATCATTCTGCATCCCTACTATTTCCAATGTTGGTTAACTTGTCTGTTGGGACTCACATTGACCAAGTTGGCACCTTCGTCCATTTCTGCCATTGTGATGCGTGATGCCCTTCTTTTCCCCATAGGGCGCTTCTGCTTAATTCGTGTTTGAATCCAGCTTTCGTGTAACACCTCTGTGCCCGTTCCTCGGTTCTTGGCGGTGATATGGCCACCCGCTGGGTACATTGCATGGGTTCTCAGTGTATCGGAGAATGAAATGGGCCCTCCCCTCGGTAGGGAAACCAAATCCTTCTTATTTGCCGGGGTACCATGATGGTTGGCTTATTGTTTTGGGGATTGGGCCATGACATGCGTTAAACACAAGAAAAGATACCCCTTTGGACCGCCCAGGGAGGTTCACTCCTTGGAAAAAATCCGAAATCAAATTATGTCCTCGGGTTCCAGCCTATCAACTAGAAAATCAATGATGTAAAAACTTGGAGATGTTGGCTATAATATCCATACTGCATCAAGAATCCATGAAAAACAAAATCCTTGTCCCCCGGCCCCTCAGCCTATGAACTTCGGCCGTATTTATCCTCGAGTATCCAAGATGTCAAAATTTGTTTCCTGTGCCCTAACCCCCTCCAAAACAATCCGAATGTCGAATCCGCCGCCCCGTTTTTTTCTTGCGAGTTTGCTGTCTATCTGATTGCCTGTAGATATAGATTGAGAACTGTCTATCTTGCATCCAATCACTCACCAAAAAGGTCATCATAAAGGAAACACTGCCATATTAGAAATTAACGCTGATTAAATTATAGGGGGGGTGTTTTTAAGTGTATCAAGGATTGCTCGGGCAGTGCTAAAACCTTCCACAAAGAATTGAATCAAAAAAATAGGTGTCCTAAATTGGTCTTTTTGAACCCCTTTTAAGAAAATTTTAGGACACCTGTAAAAGCACTGGCCATTTTACATTTTGAGGTGGTGTAATTTTTTCCCACCAGCTCGTATTTGCCTGACTACCAACCTCTAGCCGCTGTAAAGTGTACATTGTGGCTGTCCAGAGGCGATACGACCCAACCTACAACCCCCGCTAGTGTAAAATTATCGCTCGATCTTGTAACTAAAGAAATTATCGCTACATCTCGAAAAAGACGCTCGATTTCAAAATTATTGCCGTTTCACATGTCAACCGGGGTCTATCAACTGAATCCAATCTGCTTGCAAGTATCACAGGTGTCACCTCTACGCAACGCTGGATTCTTTCAACTTGAGAACGCGCACATGCTTTGTCCCTTGTGCAATTGCGTTACTTAAGCTTCTTGGCTTTCGCTTTGTCTTTGGTTCCTATTCCTCCTTGTTTCACTGCTGATTTTGTCCACTCTTATTCTACTCTTTTGTTGCCAACTTCCAGCTATTTCACACCAACCCGCCCCAGTTGAATCAACACCGACAGGTTTACAAGAATCTCCCCTGCAAAGTACTTTGATTGTCTGGCTATAGCAGGGTACAAACATGTCTTCGCTTCAACATTGCAATAGTATGCAATAGTTATCCATCTCAAGCAGTTCAGACTACGCATGTTCCAGTAGCAATTCGTGTGATCGTGTATATTCACGCTATATCTATATATCCTTCATGAAGGCAGGTGTTCATCATTCTGATCGCCCCACTTCTTTTGCAAATATCAACGCAGAAAAACGCTCTTTCGACGGCAAAAAACGTTTTTTCGATGGGAAAAAAACCGTTTCGGATTTCAAGAAGAAATGCAAATACCCATGTTGCGGATTGCTGGTCGCCGGTGACGCCGCGGCACTTTGCGTGGCAGGCGTGGCACTTGGCGACATCCACCTTCGTTTCACGTGGCAGGCGTGGCGCTTGGAGACATCTACCTTCGTTTTGCTTGGCACGCGTGGCACTGGGCTGGCTCTGGTGGCGCTCTTGGGCTGGGATTGGTCGCCAGGTGACGCCGCGGCACTTTGCGTGGCAGGTTTGGCACTTGGCGACATCCACCTTCGTTTTGCGTGGCAGGCGTGGCACTTATGGCACTGGGCTGGCTCTGGTGGCGCGCTTGGGCTGGGATCAGTCGCCCGTGACGCCGCGACACCTTGCGTGGCAGGCGTGGTACTTGGTCACATCTACTTTCGTTTTGCATGGCACTTTGGTAAAGGAAAAACGGATATAAAAAGGGACCATTACGAATTGTGATGATCCCCATGCCTCCAGGAAGACAAAACAATAGACTTTGCTTCAATCCCAAAGTTCCGGCCGGATGGTAAACTTCGAACTCTTTTGTCGCATCGGCCAAGTTGCATTCTTTTGCAATACACTGAGGTATATACTCTCGCATGTCCACCCGATTCCTCAGGACAAGCGCATGGTGGTCTCGCGCTGTCAATGGATGAAAGCGCAGTGGGTAGGGGTATCACCTGTCAATTGGTTGACAGACTTCAGTGATCGTCCCCGTGAGGTGCTCCTTATGTGGAAAGATAGGACTGGATTCAGCATGTTTTTTGGCACCATGAGTTCGTGTGGCCCTGGCCCAGCAGTTGAATGGCGTAGTACCCATGTGTAGGAAATAGATCAGCTACACGGGTTGCCGCAGCCAAGCATCGATGGCTGTGCTCTTCTGCTGCTGCTAGCAGCAGCTTTCCAAGGCCTTGCTTTGTGTGCTCCTCGTTTACCTTGGCAGAAGGAATTTTATTTGGGCCACAGAAGTATATATGCCAACATAATCCAATACGTGGGAGAAATGCCTATCTGAAACTAGGTGCCGGGCATCTGAAAGGCTCGCGGCTGTCGTCACTGTTCAAACATTTTATTTAGGGGAAGTGAAAAGGCTCAAAAACGAAACTTTAGTTTCATAAACAATATCAACATCATCATCACCATCATCATCATCGTCACCATCATCATTCTTACCCTCACCACCATCATCATCATCACCATCATCATCCTCATCATCATCATCATCACCATGGCCAAAAGAACCTACAGCAGCGTAGCATGACGTATGTGTGGAAGCGCGAGAGAGGCTACAGCGGCGTAGCATGACGGATGTGTGGAAGCGCAAGAGAACCTAAAGCAGCGTAGCAAGACGTATGTGCGGAAGCGCAAGAGAGGCTACAGCAGGGTAGCATGACGTATGTGTGGCAGTGCAAGAGAACCTAACCTACAGCAGCGTAGAATGACGTATGTGTGGAAGCGCAAGATAACCTACAGCAGCGTAGCAGGACGTATGTGTGGAAGCGCAAGAGAACCTACAGCATTGTAGCATGAAGTATGTGTGGAAGCCAAAGGGAACCTACAGCAGCGTAGCATGACGTATGTGTCGAAGTGCATAAGAGAACCTGCAGCAGCATAGTGGAAGTGCAAGAGAACCTACAGCAGTGTAGCACGACGTATGTGTGGAAGCGCAAGAAAGGCTACAGCAGGGTAGCATGACGTATGTGTGGAAGTGCAAGAGAACCTACAGCAGCGTAGCATGACGTATGTGTGGAAGTGCAAGAGAACCTACAGCAGGGTAGCATGACGTATGTGTGGAAGTGCAAGAGAACTTACAGCAGCGTAGCATGACGTATGTGTGGAAGTGCAAGAGAACCTACAGCAGGGTAGCATGACGTATGTGTGGAAGTGCAAGAGAACCTACAGCAGCGTAGCATGACATACGTGTGGATATGAATGAAGTGCGAGGGAGCTTACACAGTGATGTTACATCACGTATGTGTGGACGTGCCAATGACGTTGTTATCCCACCCCACCCCTCCACCCAATGTTATGTTGATAGTATGATGCAAAAAATGACAACAATCGCAAGCCTCTCAGATGCCCGGCACCTGAAACTAGCCAGCAGTGTACCTAGAACATCCAAGCAGCTTTAAGCTGCAATATGGTCAGCTCCGTCGACTTGGGTTTCCACTGAGCCTTAGGCATCAGCAGGGGCACATTGGAGAGATCAAGCAAAAGGATATACATTACATACTATATATGTGTATGTATGTATGTATGTATATATATATATATTTATTTAAATATATATATATATATTACATTGTCTTACCGCATTATGTAATAATGTGACCGTACTGTATGTATGTACACTATTTGGAAATGGCCCGCTCAAGACAAAACAATCACAACGTTTTCAATGATTCCAACATGAACCACCTCCGATGAAGTATGGTCAATGTTTCAAGACCATGACGTCGCGAAACACATGTGCCTCACATTGTGACGAGGAAACAAAATCAGCACAAAGATGCGCAAAGTGCTTCCAAGAGGCATGGACATGCCCGGCCATTGCCCCAGAATTGACCTCCACTAGCGGCAGTGTGAAGCAATGTGTCCTCTCTCCAGCCACCACCGCCTGCCGAAGGGTTCCAGGGCAGTGAGTGGACACCCCAAACTTCGCGGCGCCTCAATGGCGACTACTTCACTGGCATCAATGGCATCGCTGTAGGTGTCATCTGCGGTCCTTCTGATTCTTTACGATTCAAAGTTCTGTTTTGTGATGTTTTTTGCCTGGCATGGTCTGAAAATTTCAGAGGAAATGGAATCGCCTCAGATGTGTCACTGAGAATCTTGCCAAAAACATGTTGACGTGAGAATTATATATAAATCTTTCAAATTGTTCAGTAATAGCAGCACCTTACGTATATGATGTCTCAAGCTTAAATGAACAAGTCCAGTTGCCATTTGCGAGCTCAAGTCCCATGTTTACTGGCAACAACACACTAATTTTTCCCCACATCTTTGTGTGGGGTTCTTGTTTTTGGCTCTGCACTCCTGCCTGCCCCGTCCCCGTCCTGTCCTCCCGCCGCCTGCCTCACACACAACTTGTCCACACACAACTTACTCACACGCAACTTGTCCACACACAACTTACCCACACACAACTTACTCACACACAACTTGTCAGCACACAACTTGTCCACACACAACTTGTCCACATACAACTTGCTCACACACACAACTTGCTCACACGCAACTTACTCTCACACAACTTCCTCTCACACTTCTTGCCCCACACAAGTTGCTCACACACAACTTACTCACACACAACTTGTTAACACACAACTTGTCCACACACAACTTGTCCACACACAACTTGCTCACACACACACAACTTGCTCACACACACAACTTACTCACACACAACTTACTCTCACACAAATTACTCACACACACACACAACTTACTCTCACACTTCTTTCTTCACACACAACTTGTCCACACACACAACTTACTCTCACACTTCTTGCCTCACACACAACTTGTCCACACACAACTCGTCCACACACAACTTACCCACACACAACCTACTCACACACGACAACTTACTCACACACAACTTTTCCACACACAACTTGCTCACAAACAACTTGCTCACACACAACTTACTCTCACACGGCAGGTGTGGCACTTGGTGACATGGACCTCCACTTGGCGTGGCAAGCGTAGCACTTGGTGACATCGACGTGCATTCTGCGTGGCAGGCGTGGCAATTACGGCACTGGGCTGGCGCTGGTGGCGCGCTTGGTGCTTCGTTCGAGGTTGCCGCTGCGGCTGTTTGCGTGGCAGGCATGCCACTTGGCGACATCGACCTCCACTTGGCGTGGCAGGCGTAGCGCTTGGCGACATCGGCGTGCACTTTGTGTGGCAGGCGTGGCACTTACGGCACTGGGCTGGCGCTGGTGGGGCGCTTTGTTTTCAGTGGACGCCGTTGTCGCCGTAGCTGTTTGCGTGGCAGGCGTGGCACTTGGCAACATTGACCTCCACGGCTGGCTCTGGTGGTGCGCTTGGTTCCCAGTGGATGCCGTGGACCTCCACTTGGCATGGCAGGCGTAACACTTGGTGACATCGACGTGCATTCTGCGTGGCAGGCGTGCCACTTGCGGCGCTGGGCTGACTCTGGTGGCGCGCTTGGTTCCCAGTGGGCGGCTGTTTGCGTGGCAGGCGTGGCACTTGGCGACATGGACCTCCACTTGGCGTGGCAGGCGTGGCAGGCGTGGCACTTGGTGACATCGACGTGCATTCTGCGTGACAGGCATGGCACTTACGGCACTGGGCTGGCTCTGGTGGCACGCTTGGTTCCCAGTCGACGCCGTTGTCGCTGCGCTGTTTGCGTGGCAGGCGTCGCACTTGGCGACATCGACCTCCTTGGCGACATGGACCTCCACTTGGCGTGGTAGGCGTCACTTGGTGACATCGACATGCATTCTGCGTGGCAAGCGTGGCACTTATGGCACTGGGCTGGCTCTTGGTTTCCAGTGGACGCCGTTGTCGCCGCGGCTGTTTGCGTGGCAGGCGTGGCACTTGTCGACATGGACCTCCACTTGGCGTGGCAAGCGTGGCACTTGGCAACATCGACGTGCATTCTGCGTGGCAGGCGTGGCACTTACAGCGCTGGGCTGGCTCTGGTGGCGCGCTTGGTTCCCAGTGGACGCCGTTGTTGCCGCGGCTATTTGCGTGGCAAGTGTGGCACTTGGCGACATGGACCTCCACTTGGCGTGGCAAGCGAAGCACTCTGTGCCATCGACGTGCATTCTGCGCGGCAGGCGCGGCAGGCGGTGCGTGTGTGCAACTCCGTGATCTCTTTTCCGGGAGAATGATTACCAGCAGACATTGGAGTTGGAATGTCGACACCTGACGCCTTGTATGCGCACCAACCGAGCAGAAGCTGCTGTCGCACCTGCAACCCTGAACAGGAAAGTGTCACATTGCCAGATGAACAACGGTTGCCCCGTGGCGCCCTTGGATGCGTTGCAAGTTTATGCCCAGCTTGGATTGATTTCGGTGGGTGAAATGGAAGCTAGCTTTGTCAGATGCTTGGTGGCCTTCATTGACGTGCAGCTTCCCGACGACGAAGCTCTGCAGCAAGACAACACGTCCACTTCGGCAATGCGCGTCAAGCGCTCTGTGGATTGCTTATTGCCTATACCCCGGCTGCCACAGGTAAGCCGAGCCGCGGAGTGCTGGCCCTTTCGCGGTGCTTGCTCACACCTCGGATGATGGCTAATGGAGCGTGCTGTGGCATGTGCCTGTGGAAGCGCATCGTCGTGTGGAAGGAGGCAAGAACTTCATGATGCGGATCTATCAGTCTGAGGTCAAAATCCCACAAACACTCACCTACGATCAGGCGTAGACTCCCATGAAACGACTTGCGAGCGTCATGGAGCAAACACCGGAAGACACGCGTCACTGACTTTAAGATGCCGCGTGAGCAGACATGCGATTGACGGCGTGCCGTGCGAAAATCTATCGTTGCTGCTACCGGTATGGTGTATGCGACTAGATTGACGCGTGGTGCGACGTGGTGCGAAAATCTCTCGTCGCTGCTACCAGGCTTGCGGTGGAAGCGAGGCAATTTTGATACCGAGCTCGGCGCCGAAGAAAAAAAGCCTCTAATAACCAAATCACATGACATTGCATGTGGTCTTCTACACATGTGCCCAAGTATGGAAGATGTTCTCGAGCGGCATGTCTGTTGAACATGTTTCGATGTGTCTGCTGAAGCTGCCATTGATATTGATTGCCGCGCCGGAAACTCTTGTTTCGCCAGCTGACCAACGAGTCATCGTTTAGTTGTCCATGCGTGTTGTTGCTGTCTGACTTGCCTGACCTGCCAGGTACCTCTGCGAAGCTCGGTCGCCAACCTTCTGCATTCGCCAAGCGCCTGCAGCAGACCGTCCGCTCTCATGACTGTCAGCGCGCACTGCTTGGCCACATTGCACATGCTGCCAAGACCGGCCACTGCCATTCACCTGTACTCATGGTGTTGGCATGCCGGTTTTGGCTACATACATACGTACATACATACATCCATACATCCATACATGCATACATGCATACATGCATACATGCAAGCATGCATACATGCATACATGCAAACATGCATACATGCATGCATGCATGCATGCATACATACATACATAGATACATACATAGATACATACAGTACATAGATACATACATAGATACATACATATTTAGATAGATAGATAGAAATACATACATACATACATACATACATACATACATACATACATATATACATACATACATACATTACATTACATTACATTACATTACATTACATTACATTACATTACATTACATTACATACATACATACATACATACATACATACATACATACTTGCTTTACATTATTTTACATTGCATTACATTACATTACATTATATTACATTGCATTACATTACATTGCATTGCATTACATACATACATCTTTGCCAACACACAGCATCTTTCACATACAACTTTGTCCCACACAACTTTTTTCACTACTCGATCCTTCACCACCTCCTTTGTCTTTCCTTCCTTCCCCGTCCCGCTGCAACATTTGTTGCTCATTATTGGAAGACGTTGACATGTGCGGTTATCCGGTCCTTTAATTCTTTGCAGCTCAGTTAACCCTATTCTTGCAGGTCAAAAACTCCACAACCCCATTTCTTGATGCTCAAATCCCCATCCAAGCCACCAAATGCCACCAGCCCATCAACTCCTCCCATCAAGCCTCGATCGCCTCCATAGCGAATCCTGCCTCATCCGGATCCGCAATGACGCCAATATTTTGGCACCACTCCTGTCTCAGGCTGGTGGTCTTGGTCTGCCGAGCTAACTCAACATAGGGTTGACGAACAAGAAACGTACAAAATAGGGATGTATTGTCTCCGCCGTCATCGATTATCAAGCTTCTCAGTCATTTACCCGAATTTGCTTGAAAAAAATGAAATTGAAATTGCTTCAGCAATGGATGAAGGTGGATGTAAAGCTGCAAACGCCGTGGGAAATATCTTGTCTGGTCTGGCTAAGCCATGTTAAGCCCCCGTTTCATCTTATCCACGCATGGGGTCTTTGTGATAAAATATGATATTTTCAGGTACCCAATTTTCAGACAAACCCATACATCAGTGAACCTGCCCAGAAAGGGGGGAACAATGATCCAGGTTTCCACGTCAGGCACAAGGGAAAAGTCAAGTTCAGAGAACCACATGAGTGATTGCTTGAGTTTGCACAGAGGTGCAGCTGAATCCTGGAATAAGGAAATGAAAAGGACAATATGGAGGCTGCCATCTAATTTAATATACAGGCCTCCTCTCATTTCATTCTTTCCTAAAAGCCACTTCTGATAGGTTTGCAACACCGCCCGCGTCAGCCCACGATCTTCTGTCCTCGGGCGACAAATCTTTGAACCATGGCTCCGTTTGGAGGAACCTTAGATGTAAACGTCAGCACCATGCCAGGTTTGAGCCTGGCCTGCACAAATGTCAAAGCACGTCCCCAAAACTGTGGACAGCAGTATTTATGTAACTGCGCAATTTTGCAGGTTGTTTTGTTTGCCTTTTTGAAATACACTACCCCCAAGAAATCAAGGCCCAGGAATTCCCCTTTGTCAATCATCAGTCATACCTGTGGCCTCCGGTGTCTTTCGCAAAAATATCCGCTGACTGAAGGCATCAGTGCTTTTGACCATGACATGACCCACAGCTGCCATTGGGCGCGCGGACCAGCTGCTAAATTAACGAGTAGCAAGCCTAAGTGCCAGTCCTGATATGCTGGCTGGTCCCACACTTCTGGTGACTAAACCATCCAATAGGGAAACGTGACCTGTACCCAATTTGCTGCGCAAGAGACTGGGCATGGTCTGCCACCAAATTCTTCTCACCTACACGCACGTGCGCCGCCCATTCTCTCGGGCACGTGCGGAGGACGGCGTAGCCTTTGACGCTCTCAATGATGTCCTGCAGCTGGGAGACGCAACTTATAGGGTAAACCAATAAACATCGCTTATAATCGGATTTGCCCAACGTATCAAGTGTATCTGTATTCTGTGTTTACTCCACACACTATAGGCGTATGTCATGCATATACTTGTGCCTGCGCAAAAATGAATTTATATAAATACTAATAAATATATATGCAGCATATACCTAACACCCTGTGGCCCCTTTACAAAAAAATATCCTCATCGAAGGAAGTTTAGAAGTCAAACTTCCGACAATATTGACAGATGAAAATGCAGGTGCGTGAAAAGGTAGAAAAGTTGCGAAACACTGCGTTTTTCCAATGATTTGTGGCTCCGGAGGGTCGAAAAGTAGGCTCGCTAAAGCGGCGAGTGCGGAGCCATCTGGGCAGATGAGAGATGAAAAATTGCACGCCGTTGTGGCGCGAAGCACATTTGAAGTCAAAAGTGCAAAAAACTGATCACGGGTTCGGACCACTTTTGGACGTTCAGATGTCGTTTTGCGTGGTAGGCGCAAGGGAATATATGCACCTTGTCAAAAGTGAGAAAAAACGTCTGGGTTTTGTAGCGGTTTCAAAAGCGTTGGCAGGCGTGGGGCATTTGAGGAGGATCTGGAAAGATGCATTTCGCGTGGCACGCGCGGTACAAGAGACATGTTCATGAGAGATGTTAGGAGGTCAGGACATTGATTTCCTGAGAGGGTTTGCATTTTGGAGCATCAGATCTCCAGGTTTGCTAAGATGATTTTGCGTGACAGGTGCAGCACTTCGTTGGCCTCACTTTTTTCATGGCACGCGCAATACCAGATGGAATGGAAAATCGCAAAACGCATTGGTACGAGGTCGTCAGCTCGGCACTCAAGTTTCCATTTTTAAAGGAAGTCTCGCAGAATTGCTTCGTTTTCAAGCTTGCAGCTAGACAGATAGATAGATAGACGCCTGCAAATACAACAACAACTACAACTACACTACGCCACTACAACTACAAATGCAAATAGACTATGCCGCATTACACTACACTAATTAGACTACACTACAGTAATTGCACTACACTACGCTATATTACAGTACGCTACATTACAACAACAACAACAACAACAGCAACAACAACAACAATAACAACAAAAAATACTACTACTACTACTACTACTACTACTCCTACTACTCCTACTACTACTACTACTACAACTACAACTACAACTACAACAGCTACAACTACATTACACTACACTACACTACACTAATTACACGACACTACAACTACACCTGCAACTACACCTACAACAGCACTACAACTACGTTACACTACACTAATCACACTACACTACGCTTCAACTACAGCTGCAACTGCTGCAACTACGACTACATTCCACTACACTACAACTACAACTGCAACTACAACTACACTTGCACTACATTCCACCACACTACACGATACTAACTACACTACACTACGCTACACTAATTACACTACACTACACTACAGCTACAGCTACAACTACACTACATTACACTACACTACACTATATCCACTATTTACACTACGCTACAGCTACAACTGCAGCTACAACTACAACTACACTACATTACGCTACACTACAGCTACAACTCCACTACACTACAATTACAGCTACAACTGCGCTACGCCACACTACATCCAGCAATTGTGGGTGAGGTGACCACTGCAACCATTGCAAACGCTCCAAAAAACTAGACGACGGATGGCCCGAGAGCGTAGAGGAGCAGGGTCTTCTCTTGTTAGTATGGAGACACATTTTTACAAACAATATATGAAAGATGTGTTATAGGCAGTCGAGAAGAGGAGTATCAAGACAAAATAGTGAGACGTGCAAGACAATAGTTTGCATCGCAAACACTTTTACACACAGAAGCTTTTACACACAGACGCTTTTACACACACAAGCTTTTACACACAGAAGCTTTTACACACAGAAGCTTTTACACAGAGGCTTTTACACACAAAGCTTTTACCCACAGAAGCTTTTACATACAGAAGCTTTTACATACGGAAGCTTTTACACACAGACGCTTTTACACAGACACTTTTACACACAGACACGTTTACACACAGACACTTTTACACACAGACTCTTTTACACACAGGAGCTGCTTTTACACACAAACGCTTTGACACACAGATGCTTTTACACCCAGAGGCTTTTACACACAGAAGATTACACACACAGAAGCTTTTACACAGAAGCGTTTACACACGGACACCTTTACACACAGAAACATTTACACACACACACGCTTTGACACACAGACACTTTTACACACAAACACTTTTACACACAAACATCTTCACACAGAAACACTCTTACACACAAACCCTTTTACACAGAGAGACTTTTACACACAAAAGCTTTTACACACAAACACTTTTACACAGATGCACTTGTACACACAAACACTTTTACACACAAACATCTTTCCACCGAAACACTCCGACACACAAACACGTTTACACACAAACACTTTTACACACAGAAGCTTTTGCACACAAACACGTTTAAACAGATGCAATTTTACATGCAATCACTTTTACACACAAACATCTTTACACAGAAACACTCGTACACACAAACCCGTTTACACACAAAGACTTTTACACACAGAAGGTTTTACACACAACACTTTTACACAGATGCACTTGTACACACAAAGCCCTTTTCCTGCGCAAGGATTACTCCAGCACACGATAAATCGCAATTTTACCTCAGTTTTTGCCGATCGACCTTCATTTCGTGCGAAAGGGTTGCTCCAGCACACGAAAAATCGCAATTTTACCTCAGTTTTTGCCGATCGACCCTCATTTCGTGCGAGAGGGTTGCTCCAGCACACGAAAAATCGCAATTTTACCTCAGTTTTTGCCGATCGACCCTCATTTCGTGCGAAAGGGTTGCTCCAGGACAAGTCAAATCGCAATTTTTCCTCAGTTTTTGCCGATCGACCTTCATTTCGTGCGAAAGGGTTGCTCCAGGACAAGTCAAATCGCAATTTTTCCTCAGTTTTTGCCGATCGACCCTCATTTCGTGCGAAAGGGTTGCTCCGGGGCAAGTCAAATCGCAATTTTACCTCAGTTTTTGCCGATCGACCATCATTTCGTGCGAAAGGGTTGCTCCAGGACAAGTCAAATCGCAATTTTACCTCAGTTTTTGCCGATCGACCTTCATTTCGTGCGAAAGGGTTGCTCCAGGACAAGTCAAATCGCAATTTTACCCCAGTTTTTGCCGATCGACCCTCATTTCGTGAGAAAGGGTTGCTCGGGGGGCAAGTAAAATCGCAATTTTACCTCAGTTTTTGCCGATCGACCATCATTTCGTGCGAAAGGGTTACTCCAGCACAAGTCAAATCGCAATTTTACCTCAGTTTTTGCCGATCGACCTTCATTTCGTGCGAAAGGGTTGCTCCAGCACACGAAAAATCGCAATTTTACCTCAGTTTTTGCCGATCGACCATCATTTCGTGCGAAAGGGTTGCTCCAGCACACGAAAAATCACAATTTTACCTCAGTTTTTGCCGATCGACCCTCATTTCGTGCGAAAGGGTTGCTCCAGGACAAGTCAAATCGCAATTTTACCTCAGTTTTTGCCGATCGACCTTCATTTCGTGCGAAAGGGTTGCTCCAGGACAAGTCAAATCGCAATTTTACACCAGTTTTTGCCGATCGACCCTCATTTCGTGCGAAAGGGTTGCTCGGGGGCAAGTAAAATCGCAATTTTACCTCAGTTTTTGCCGATCGACCATCATTTCGTGCGAAAGGGTTACTCCAGCACAAGTAAAATCGCAATTTTACCTCAGTTTTTGCAGATCGACCATCGTTTCGTGCGAAAGGGTTGACGTTTCGTGACTCACCGCCGGTACCACCCGCGGCCTAAAGAGAGAAAGATAAAGAAGGCGAGAGAGAGAAAAAGGAGAGAGAAAGGAGAGAGAGAGAAGATGTGAAGATGTGAAGATGAGCAGATGTGAAGATGAGCAGATGTGAAGATGAGCAGATGTGAAGATGAGCAGATGTGAAGATGAGCAGATGTGAAGATGAGCAGATGTGAAGATGAGCAGGTGTGAAGATGAGCGGGTGTGAAGAAAGTGAAGATGAGCAGATGTTGAGCAGATGTGAAGATGAGCAGATGTCAAGATGAGAAGGTGTGAAGATGAGAAGGTGTGAAGATGAGAAGATGAGATACAGACCCCCACTATTGGAAGAACCCTGCGCTCAGACGCTCTCGGGAAAAACTTAACTTCGACCAACTTTCGGTGGATCAGTGGATTCGCTCTGCCATCCATGCATCACAACAACTCGCCTCTCCTATAGTGTCCTGTCTTTGAAACTTCCACCACCGCCTTGTGCGGTACTACTGACTGGTATGGAGTGGCTCACTTTTGGCACGTCACAAATAAAGACATTCATATGAATTTGTTCACGTGTGGGGTGTCCCAAGTACAGAATTTCATATGAAGTGGCTCACTTTTGGCACGTCCCAAGTAACGAAATTCATATGAAATTGTTCACTTTTGGGGTGTCCCAGATAAAGAAATTCATATAAAGTTAAGTGGTTAATTTTTGTGTGGCAGCCTGGTCCATATTTCCTTTGGAAAGCAACACGTCAACAATAAATGGCATCGAGTTCGGATCAAGAACGGATTTCAGGACCTGGACATTTTTTTGCCCCTCATGGGGCAAGGGGTGCGTTTTTCTCATTAGGGTCTGAAATTTTGCACACCTCGGAAGATGGAGGTATATATATATATATACATATATATAATTATAGTTAAATTATAATTATCGAAGGAAGTTTAGAAGTGAAACTTCCGACAATATGGACAGATGAAAAGCAGAGCAGGGCAGAGGCAGAGAGAAGAGGAAGATTAGAAGAGAGAAGATCAGAAGAGAAAGAGTAAGAGGACAGAAGATACCGATGCGCGAAAAGGTAGGAAAGTCGCGAAACACTGTGTTTTTCCAATGATGTGTGGCTCCGGAGGGTCGAAAAGTAGGCTCGCTAAAGCGGCGGGTGCGGACCCAGCTGGCCACAGGAACGATGAAAAATTGCACGCCGTTGTGGCGCGAAGCACATTTCCAAGTCAAAATGTACAAAACACCTCAGCGTCGGACCACTTTTGGAAGTTATGATGTCGAAAAAGTGCACGCCGTTGTGGCGCGAAGCACATTTCCAAGTAAAAAGTGTTAAAAACTGACGGTCTCGGACCACTTTTGGAGGTTCAGATGTCGCAAAAGTGTCGAAAAAGTGCACGCCGTTGTGGCGCGAAGCACATTTCGAAGTCAAAAGTGTAAAAAACTGAGGGTTTTGAGCCTTTTTTGACGTGAAGATGTCGAAAAAGTAGACACTGATTAACTTAACTAACTTGACTAACTTAACTAACTTCACTAACTTAACTACCCTAACTTCGACGACAACAGCAACAACAACAACAACGACAACAACAACAACAACCACCACAACAACAACAACTACTACTACTACTACTACTACTACAACTACAACTACAACTACAATAGATCGATAGATGGAGAGATAGATAGATAGATAGATAGATAGATGAAAGAGAGAGAAAGAGAGATAGATAGATAGATCGATAGCTGGATAGATACATAGAAAATAGATAGGTAGGTAGGTAGATAGGCAGAGAAAGAGAGAGAAAGAGTGAGAGAGATCAAGCACCTTTCAATCCATCAGTGGCTTCGCTCTGTCATCCTTGATTCACAACAACCAACCTCTCCTATAGGTTTCCTATTTTTGAAACTTCCGCCACCGCCTTGTGCGGTACTACTGGTAATTATAATTATAATTATATAGTGTAGCGCACAGAGAAAAGCAACTTTGATATGTTGAATTCCGGGGAATTTCCACCAGTCCTCCTGTTTGTAATGGACCTCTTTGTTTCCTCAGCATGCAAGTGTGGCATGCTTCCCGGATCATGAATTGGCCCGGTCCAATGGCCATCTGGAGCCACCCATCGACGAACGAAAATCATGCTTGAGTCCACTGCCAACGATAGGTCAACATATGTCAAAATTACTGTCCAAGCTTGGAAACACACACGCACACAGGAGAAAAACTTAACGACTTTCCAGTCTCGGTCAGTTATGCGCACTGATAGCTCCACTTGAGACTAATGGGGCTGCGGACACTGCCGACTGTAAAAGATCTTACCAGGCTATGACTGCTGACGAACATCCACCAAGAGCCAAGGTACTGGGGATAGGCTCTGTGGCTGGCCATTCATTGGCCCATGTACGCAGCACTTCCATTGCTGTCCGCTGACGCTTTTCCCCGGGACCTGATGGTGCAAGGCAGAATCGGAGATTATCCTTGGGTAACCAAGCCTGCCCTGCTGAGAAACCTTGTCAGTTTCTTGGGGGATGCATCAACCAAACGATGTACCCAAACGATTAAATAAATCAGGAAGGCCCTTAGCCAGCCTGAGTCATAATCACAGAGGCGCCTTTTTTTGCGTTCCTGGGGCATGCATGTTGGGACGTCCGGACACTTTTGTGTAAACCCTAAACCTGATGTAAAGCCGGGAAATAGCCTCCTCACTGTCAGCTTTACTGTTTCAGGTCCTAGCGCTGACCAGCATTCTTGGAAAGATTGGCCATGAGTTGCTGCAAAAACCAAAATAGCTAGAAGTGGCTACGCGCAATCCACAGCCGAACTGGACACAAACATACTGGGAACAGGGTACTGGTGCAATCCAAAGATTGTGGAGTTCCAGACTCCACCTAAATAGTTTACTTTCATTGTTGAAAACCACCGGCTGGCAGTAATTCCAATCGATTTCAACTTTTCAACCATCAAATTAGAGGGAGCGGCTGTCTTTCGCTGTAGTTCACTCATTTCCGTGCCTCCTGCAAAGGACAGAAGACTGCAGCCGGCGCCAGGCTCATGCAGGTGTTGCCAGCATTGTTGACAACCTCAGTGAAAGGGCCGAAAGGCTGCTCTGGATGGCATCATTGTCAATCAAATTCCACAGAATTTTCTCTGAACGTGATGGGGTAATAGTAGCACTTTCAAGCCGTCCTAATTACGTATAATAGACGAACTTTGCGAGTGCCCCCTCAACAAGCTAGACTCTAGACTTTGTTTGACACTCCAAGTGTTGCTTGGGGAGTTGATGTGTTCTCAACATCCTTTCGTCATTTTGTAGCAACCCTTGATGGGGACAAATACCAAAAGACTGCGCTTATGTTTGACCAGTAGCAGGACGTCACCCCATTCCAGGAAAAGTGTATGATATTACACCCTGTGTAATGACAATATCACAATATCATTTTAATTTTTCACCCTGTGTAATGATAGTGACAATATCACAATATCAGTTTAATATTTCATAATTAATTAGCCCTATTCCTACCATATTTCTATTCACTGGAGACTTGATGTTCCTTGCGTGTGGCAGGCGCTTCCCATTCCAATGCCCAGGCGCTTCCAAATTCGCCCCGCCTTCCAACAAGGCCTTGGCCGCAGCTGTCTTCTGACTCCTGACGGCATAGAACAACCTCAGAGAGGCACTACCGGCATGCCATAATGAGTCTCAGCATGTTTCAACCATCTTGCTGTGGTTCAAAATTGTTTCCGCCCTAGGACCCACAAAATGTCTTTTAATCATTCGTACTGTCAGGTACCCAATTTTTTCGGGATTCGGAATTTGACGCAGGAAAAATCTGATCAAAGAGCGGCCAAAGATACGATTTCTGAGCAGCAGTCACGACATAAACCGCACACCGCCCATTCAGCAAACTTTTGCCCACCATCCTCCGACCAAAACAAACATCCTTGTTGGCAGCCCAGCAGCGCTGTTTCGCCGTGCACGTCCACAATATTGGGGTCTGCGCCTTGCTTCAGCAGGTACTGGATTGTTTCAGAATGACCTTTGCGAGCTGCAAAGAATAGGGCTGTTTGATTTATCACCTTGGCTCGCGGAGGCGAGTGGACACGGTGGCACGCAATAGCAAACCCACACGATGAAACTGGATCAAACATGAGATGCTGAACCAGCAAAAACATGCAAAAACCATATCCGTTTTGGGGTAAAAAATTGAGCCAAAACCGCTCGGCCATTTGCCAGTAACATCCCCCAACATCACTTCAGGACTGTGCCAAGCCACATCCTTGTAATTCACCGGTACGGATCTCTCAATCAGCATCTCACACAAGCTTTTGGCCTGCAGAGAATGCCAGGCCGTCAAGAAAAGGGGACCCTGCTTCTGCTTGTTGAGTAAGGCAAAAATGTTTGTTACATTGCAGTAACATATTGTAAAGCAGGTAAACGGCATTGCGGGTCCCAGTTAAATGTCAACACCGTCCTTTTATAGTTCCATCAACTTGACAGCAATATTTCGAGCTGCTTGGCTGCAGCCTGGTGGTCAGATCCACGCCGATTGGCCGCGAAGAAAAGCGGTGTCTGATTGTGCGGCATGTAACCTCAGAAAAAATATCCCGCAAACCATCCAACAACCCAAAGGCTTGCCAAAGCATGCCACATGACCTCTTCAAGACGGAAGCATTTTGCAGCTCTTCTCCTATGTCCTGGGTGCCTGGAACAAGACTCCCTTGGCGTAAAGAGAATGGAGAGTTCTGATTGAGGCTTGCAGTCTGAAAAACAAGGTGCCGGGCATCTGAGGGGCTCCCCGCTGGTGGCATTTTTCATTTTTCTGACAGGGGACATTGAACAGGAACGACACTTTAGTTTCATTACCAACATCGTCACCAACTTCAACATCAACGTCAACTTCAAAAAGTCGCAAGCCTCTCAAATGCCCGGCACCAAAAACAAACTCATGTGCCAAGCCACGAACCGAAAGAACTTGCAAAGAGGACCCTTTGATGATGTGCTTGGCTTTTTGGAAACTGCCATCCTCAGTCGGAGCTTGTTTGCAATGACCCTGTTTGCAAGCGCTCACACACTGAACTCATCACCCTTGTGTAGGGGGCCCAGCTTGGTCGTCTCAACACCACAAACAAATAAAGATCATGGGGATGATCCTGCCATTCTTAGGCCGCAAAAAATATTTATTCTGAAGCAAGGTTTCCATCAGAGACGCTTGAAAAAGCGCGAGGGGTTGCCTTTTGTCAGTTCAGGTTCAGGGTTTTATGTACCCAGTATGGGCCTTGGTCTTGAAAGCTCTGCTCCACTGTTGTCCTCAAACGAAAAAACAAACTTGTCAGGATATTCGAGTGCTTGGCTTGTCAATAACTTGCTGTCCGAATTCTCAACGGCTGCTTTGGAGAGCACGAATCCTATCAAGGTTTAAACTCACTCAGTCAGCATGTCCAAGCCGTCTGGGTTGTGCCCCGTCTACCCGTGCAGTCTGATTCGAGATTCTCTGATGGTTAGAAACAATGAATCTTTGCTTTTCAGGGCCATGGCTGCGAAACCCCAAGTGGGTCAAGACCTTCTGCGCCAAAAGCTAGATTTATGGCAGTGAATGAACCACAGTAGTGGGGATTGTGCATTCCCAATCAAGTAAATGGAATAACATAGAGTTAAAACCCGTGGCCATAGCGGGACGAGGCCTACCTAGGTCCAACAATCCGTATCCCCAAAGGATCAACATATATACTTGCGTGTATTTGTCTGCATGTATGTGTTTAATTGTTTACAGGTGGTTATAGATGTACGTATAGATAAATGTGTCTCTCTCTTATATATATATGTGTAAGGTGTCTTTGTATATGTATACATGTGTGTGTGCACGTATGTGCATGTGTATGAAACCGTGTATGTAACTTTGTATGTAACTGTGTAGGTGTAGGTGCATGTATATGCATGTATGTATGTATGTATGTATGTATGTATGTATGTATGTATGTATGTATGTATGAATGAATGAATGAATGAATGAATGAATGCAACTACAAATAGCATATAATTATGTATTTATGTATAAACAAACACACACACATGTATGTTGTTGTGATTGTATGTACGAGTACGTATGCAGGTCTGATGTGCAATAACCAATAAAAATAAATGGTATATGCGGCGTCAATATCAATGCGATGGTGTGCAGTATCGTGGCTACGCCACCAACAAGATACTTCAAGACTCTAAGATGTTTCAAGGTTTGAGCCAAGAGATGGGGGTTGGGCAGAGTTCTACATCATTCCAGCAGAAGCAAGTTCTCACTCATATTGTGCAGGCAACAACACAAACGGCGCTTGCACATTCAACAAGCTGTGGCTTTCAATCATCAAACATTTTCAAGGTTTGGGACACATTTCCATGGATTCAAACATGATACTCTTGTGACCTGTATTGGGCCCCACTGTCACAGATTTCCGTCACTCTTCAACTCTTATGAGGGCAACATCGAAGGTCAATTTGATTCATCCAAATATATACAAGTGGACTAACCAGATAATCATGATTATATTAATCCCCCATATAAATCCGCAATTCCACATTGTTGTTGGTTGGACCAGCATTCCTATCCCTATCGATTGGTTTTATTCCCTATATTTCACCACCAAAATCGCCAGCATCGTCAGCCAGCTTTGTCAGTGGGTTGCCCCACGATCTGCTGTGCTTCGCCTGCATCAGCCCGGCGCACCTTGGGAAATGCGCAGCTCACCAAATGTGAGGACTTGCGCCCTATATATCATTATATATATATCATTATATATATATTTATATATTATCTACATTATATTGCGAATCGGTGATTGTCTGTCCGATTATGTCCTGATAGTCAATGTCAAAGTGGATGTTCCAGTGATGACGTTACAAGGGCATCAGCTTCCGCATTGCAATTGTTTTCTCTGACGCTGCAGTGGGTCTTGAGCCAAAGAGGTCGGTTTCATGTACCCCTTCGGCTGTGGATCTTAGAGTGCCTAATAGTGATAATGTACACTGACCCGTAGCCTACACTCTATTCGCACCCCCCACGCATGGCCAACTTTGTCGGCCACGCGCAAAGGAGTGTCCCTCGAATTGATCCACTACATCTGCAGCTGTTCATTTATTGAATTATGGAGAGCTAAAGTCCGTTCAGAACTTCATATCTACATGGCGGCTTGCTACAATCTCTACCAAAAAAGATGAAGGTTCTGTTCACGTGCATGTAGACACGACGTAGTCGGTGTCTAGCATTGAGGTTCGTCCAATGTGGCGTAGCCAGCATGGAGTCTCACTCAAGCATGTGAATTAAAAAATCAAAACACAAAGTTGACTATGGAACTAGAAGTTTACCTCCCCGTCCCTTCGTCGGTTGAGACGTAGACCGCTGTAGAAACTCAGCGTTTCATGCAATGATGTTCAAAAAAAATGTGTGTTTCTAAATTAGCCGGCTCAGAGTCCTCTCAGAAATCATTCAAAATGAAGTAGAGGTAAATCTCGAGCAATGATTGCATCCTCGCATCGCCAGGTTCAATCAGGACCTATGCAGAGGTCAGATCGCTTAATCATCTATATCCCCATCCATAGTATCCCTGCTGGTTCCAGTCTCCGCCACGGTGTGAATAAGATCTTCCACCTTTTCCTTGGTCCTTTCCACCCTTCTTTGGCGGGGTAACTGGAGCTTGTTTTGGCTGAGGAGCGGTTTCAACTGTTCTCCATGTCGCTGACGATGATGCTTTCGCTTTCGACACTCTTCCCAGTGCTGGTGCAGCTTTCGGGGCTGCTTTCGATTTGCCAGCGGCTGGATTGGTACGTTCACGATCAGCAGGAGTCGGGGTATCAGCAATCGCAAGTATGTGAGCTTCAGACAAGTGGATGCCCCACCTTGGTCGTTGATCTTCCCGTTGCTTGATGTGATTGTAGTCATCGATGCTAACTTGCACCAGACACTTTCGGACCTTCCTTTTGTGTTGCTGAATTAGTTCAAGGTTGGTGTCGGGCATTCGAAGGTTAGAAAGGTGTACTCGCGCCGCTTTGTCGGGATGCTTCAGATAGTTGAGGGGTGAATACACGTTGCATTCTGTTGTATAATTTGTTTTAAAGGCTTGTATTAGTTTGCTGGGCGCGCACAGGTTTTGCACTTGCGTGGCCAGTTGCACATGAACGCATGTTGTAATCCAAGCGCGCAAGAATCTAAATGTCACGAACCAACAATCCACATGCGTCGTTGGTGATGCTTAGCTAGCCAGTATGCGTGTCTTGGGTTGTCCATGTGGAGCACACTTTCAACGTCCAGAGCGTCTTCTTGCAAGTTGGGTAGATAGACACTAGTGCTGTCGCCCCATCATTGTCCAGGGCTCGCTTTCCACAACCGGCAAGGCCTATAGCGTGGCCATGTACTTGCATACCTTCATGAACTGACGTTGCATTCCCCTTGATTCCTTGTCTAGCGCCTGAACAAGCACCAGATCTTTGCCAGCCTTTGACAGTTAAGAGGCGCACCCAGGGACAACATGTCCAAGCACACATGCGAGTTTTCCTCGGCACCTTAGGGCATTTGGGGCCTGTATGGCGCCTGCGGTTGGCAGACTCGCTTCCCAGCACGAAAAGTTCCAATTTTGAAGTTTTTGACGAAAAAATGGATGAACAAGATTTTTTAAAGATTTTTTGACGATTTTAGCAAAATTTCAATCTTTCCTGGTGAAAATTGATGAAAATTGTGTTTTTAATGCATGTTTGGGCTGAATGCATTCAAAATCAAGCAAGCGCATGCAAACACATCATTGCGCCCATCTTATATTTTCTTGACAATGTTTTCTTTTGTCCCGGTAACAAAAAAGGCAGCGTCATTTTGTGCATGCTGTGGGTTCATTGCCTTACTTTGTGGCACGGTGACATCCGCCGTAGTGTGTTTGAAGCCGTTTCCGATGAAACAATCACAGCTAAAAGGATACTTTCTTGTTACGGGCGACTGCCCTGAAACGTTTTTTGTTCTAAACCAGTTTGTTTTAGCCCTCAACAAACCAAGGTCCGAAAGTTCTACGGGGAAATAGTTCCCAGGAATCCCCAGGAATCCCCAGGAGTTCCCAGGAATTGGTGCCGCAGAGAACAACAAAAACAAGAACACAATAAAAAATCATCAATAACGTAAAGAAAATTTTAAAACAATAATAAAATTAAGAAAAACATTAAAAAAGTGAAAACACCTCCGAATTTCACCATTTTAAGGTTTTTTGTGACAGGCAACCTTTCCGACCATTCCTTTCGGTTCCCAATCATATCTGTTGATTTTCCTTGCTTTCTCCCTTTGTAGATTTAGCTTTGCATTGGGACGCTGATCTACCGGACCCCGCCCCAGTCTTTACAGAGCGCTGGCCTGAGTTTGTCCTTCTGACTAGACTGTGTTGTTGGGCCATCCTTGGGCCTACACGTTTTTTTTGAAGAGACCCTCGGCCCCATTGCAGCTAAGCCTTTGCCCACCTGTGCCCCACATTGCAGCAGAACCGGCCCAGGGAGCAGCTGCGTAAAATAAAAGAAGTAGATGGACCCTTCCGCGCTGGGAACTTTAAGCTACAACAGCCATCTGCTGAGAGAGATCTAAATTTCCATCTTTCCAAATATTTGGGTTGCAAACGTTCGGCTTCGATCATCCGATCACCCAGGGATGATCTCAGGCTTGTTCCGCCACACCCTTCCTAGGCTTAACGCTCATGTCTTTTGACCGCGCGCAGGGGTTCTATAACCCTTTTCCAGACATGTTTTTCCCCTTATCATCTTGCAGCCTTCAATATTTTGTAATGGCTTGGAAGGAATCAGTTTGTGTTGCTCAGCATGGTAATATTAAAGAGAACTCCGAAAAACCTAAGCCCCACTGATTGGGCGGAAGTTCCCCTGAATTTGCCGGGATGTAGTTTCCGAAGGGAATTGGCGCAAGTTAGCAGTCATCGATCGCATCATATAGCTTTTGGAGTAGAGGTCGCGGCAATTGTCGGCCATTCTGAAGGATCAGGTGTAAAAGTGATATTCTTCGAAGTGGTGGACGAAGAGCACACACAATGTCAACTGGATTCAGTGTGATTGTGTCTTGAAAGTCAACGTTCCTGAAGAAATAAACAGCATTTACCCTATATGCACCTGCAATGATTCTTCTGACCATGACGTCTTGTCGGTCAAGGGCGTCGCGGGCCGCTGTGGTCTTTCTCATCTCATCCATTGTGGTGTCACGTTTCGACAGCTTCTCCATCTCCTCATCAAAGAATATGTTTTGCAAGTCATCATACGTGTAGCCACATTCAAGGGTATATATGAGAAGTCTTTTGAGTACCACTGCCCCATAGTATGCATTGACGAATCCCTCTTCTCCGATGTCGTCCTTTTGATTTGGTCGGCCGATCTCTTTGTAGAGCTCTTTCATCTGTTGTGCAGTTGGTTCAATGAGTTCACCATTTTCATCCTCGCCCAGGTAAGGTGTTCTTGAGTCCAGGTCCATCCTGAATTTCTGGTTCTGTTGAAAATGTTTCCATGCCGTCTCGATGTCTCCACAGAAGTTCCGTTGGAATAGTCTGTAGATCCTGACGATATGTAATCCAATCTGCAACAGGAGGATCTTGATGAATTCTGGCTGAGCATCTCCAATTGTGCAAGGTTCGATCGGCAGGACCTTTGATCCAAACTCAATCCGCTGCATCCACTTGGGGTACTCAATCACTGCATCACGAGCTTCTCCAGCCTCGTACTCTTCAATGTTGATTTCATCGACCGCTTTCTCTTCATCATCATTCTCATCGGTCGGTTTTCCTTCTTGATTGAGAAATTTGTCGACCTCATCTTCTTCTCTGAAGTCTCTTTTCTCATCATTGATGTCGCCCTTCTTCGAGGCTTGATCATCATCTCCTTCTTCTGGTTGAGTTTCTTGTTCTGGACTCTTCATGGTGACATCATCATCATCTGGCATCACCTCGTCATCATCATCATCACCTGTCAAATCGATCTTCACCTCCTCCCATGCTTTCTTGACATGGTCTTTGAGATCTTCTTCTCGATGATGTGATTCGGCACTTGGTACTGTAGCCACGGTGATCTTGATTCGTTTCCATCCATGACTCACCAAAAATCCTTTGCACATTACACAAATCGATAATGGTGCAGGGGTCTCCATCAGACATGCGGGGCATAGTCGATGGTCCTCTTTGCTAGGGTGATGAGTGACTGCCAACAACGATATTGTATCATTCCAATCCGGATGTCCAGGGAACAATCTGTGAGTATGACTGAAGTGACCGGTCCTGATATCGACAAGTTTTCGAAGTTCGTCCAGATCGGGTGATGATTCTTCAGGCACAATGTTTCCAATGAGCTTGTCAAATCGTTCAATGGTGGCCACCCTCTTTGCACCTTGCACAGAAAGAACAAGTTGATCTCTTCCCTTCGTGATCATGAGACGGTAGTAGTCCTTTTCTCTCCAGTCGTAATACCAAACTGCATCGAATGATTCGAATGGAATTGTTTCCTGGACCAAAATGTGTCCGTCTGCTGATAATCGAGGGGAGAACTTGGCGATGGAATCATACGTGATGTAGATGTAGACAAGATCAGTTTGATCAATCTTCCTGAATCTCAGCACCATTTGACTTCTCACATCCCACGGCGCGAACGGCACGAAGAACGTATTGATGCGATCGCCTCCTCCTCCTGGACGTAGTCCTTCTCTGAAGA